TACTCAACGTCAGCATACGTACAGTGCTTTAAGAAAAACCGTTACCAAATTTATCGAATGTTTCGTTTGAAATCAATCGAGAGAACATAATCGACAATAATAATTCGCGTGGTGTAGACACGGTTATCATTGTGAATACAACACTTGACTTTGTAGCCCGACATGTAGGTGCGAGTGACGCCCTCGCCGGCCGAACAAGAGGCCGGTAACTAGTAATGGTTCCGGCATTCTGATTGGTCCGTCACTTTATAGTTGCTTGTTCTATTTCCCTTGGTTACCTGATGTCAGCGTTTACGCTCATGGCCCTAAAGCAGGGGTTTCCTTTTACTCTCGAAAGTTGGACGAGAAATGCCAGAAACATCTTAAATATGCAAGTCTAAGCAGGAAGAATACATGGGCATGGCGTAATGAAGACTTGTTGACAGAAAACTAATATTAGAATGTTTTCAAATTATGTCACTTAGTCACATGACTTTGGGACGGAATCCCGGTCCAGTGGAACAATAACTGCGTCCTACTTGCATTCGCAAAGGACGCCGGGAACCAGTGAACATCAGACCCAATCTCCCAGGCAGAGTTCTATTCCACGAATATATCTCTGCCACCATGCGATATTATGCTTGTCGTTGATTGGTCGATGCGTCACAGCGGTACTACTTTCAAAGGCGCCCAACAAAACATTGCCATGCAAGTGTTCGATTTTCGAACCCGACTAATGTGTACGTGTTGTTTGCATATTTTGGCTGTTTTCAAAGTTAGAAGCTTGTTTTTTTAACTTTCTGTAACACAAATGGTGTGGCAGTAGGACTATTTATTCGTCAATACTAGGAAGTGCTTTCGTTAGTTAGTAATTCTTTGCCTGGCAATCGACAGGATGGTCAGTTTGATGAACCGAGTATCACCTTGGTAATGGTTATTACGCAATGGAATTATTTTGTTTTGTAAATTATAACTATTTCACTGTTTTCAGTGCGTTTGCAAAAAAATTATTATCAGCTATCGATGAAATCTTTTAAAACTAGATTATCAGTAGGAATAAATCAACACAAGATCCCTCTCGAAACAAAAATACGCAAAAAATTGGCGTAGTAAAAGTCTTGTGGTGTTTCACCACAAAATGGCGGTGTGTGGTGGCAGAGATACTTTCGGTGATCTAACCGCAAGGAACTCTGGGAAGGAGAATGCATCAGACCCTCCTAACACCTGGCAAGATCAATACTGCGAATTCACGCATTCTGGCAATGAGTTTTAATGAATTATTCATTTTGGTGGTCATGGTAATCCCGCGTGGAGGGCGCAAATGACGCTAACTTGTCAGGCTACAACAGAATGTCTTTCCTGTGCAAACACTAACTCGCAACCAGGGAGACAAAGCCATGTTTGCATTGTCGACAAAAATCAAAGATTGTTTTCAACAAGATGATAATAAACATAGGGTGGGAATTTGCCCGCACCTTATCACACATTATGTCAACAAACAAATAAACTCTGCCGAGAATGGTTATACTTTGATGGCTGTCACTGTCTAACGTTCCTGCAATTTGATTGGTACTGTCAAAAAAATTTTGGGGGGGGAGTTTTCGAATTTCGAACTTCTCTGATTTCCGTTGTATATTACAATTCATGTTATATTAAAATCCATCTATTCACAACCAAGATCTGATTCTAGAATGATAGATAATTTTTACCATAAAATGACTACAACTATCTTAAAATTTGAAATGCATCGTGTATGTATATGGAACGAAATTGGTCCAGGCAGGTGGGACATAGCAATAGAAACACACAAACAGACATATACATGCATAGAGGAAATTCTACTATATTTTCATATATATTTTCATTCAAACACTAAAGAAATAAACAAATAGTTGTCAACATGACAGACGTTTAAAATAACATAAAATATATTATTTATAAAACATGATATCAATAAAGTAGTTACTTACTGTGTTATTTTTCACAGTGGCATATACTGATAAAAGAACAGTTGCAAATAAATCTCTTACAAGTAATATAACAATTAAAGTTTCAATACATGTATATATAAAAGAAAAAAACTATCAAAAATAAAACAAAAGTGTAAGGACTTATGTTTTCAATGTCACCAGAATAGGTAACTAATGTTGAGTTCAATGATTTAAGAAGACAGTGTGGGCACCTTACTATAAACTGTTCTTTGACTACTCGCACCCTTGCCACATATTTACTTTAAAAGCAGTACTCTCGAAAACGTAAATTCTGCTCTCATTATGGAGGAACATACACAGAGGAACGTATTCTATTTGCGCACGCTCTCCATACAACATACTATTAGGGAACAATCTTCAGCATCATTTTCATGTAATATGTGAGGAAATAACAACCGATTATAAGTAAAAAAATAAAAATATGTCTCATAAAAATATTTAACAAAAAGTACACTGGTAGAAGTAAACAAGCCATGCATGGCACAGTCCCCGTTAGTTATCAAATTTAAGACATAAAGCTTTGTTTATAGTAATAAGCTGGAATATAAACATGTCAGGAATATGATGATTGTTTAACATA